AAAGAGGGGAATGTATGAGAGTATAGTTTTACCAACGCTCTTATATGGGTGTGAAGCATGGGTGATGAATGTTGCAGCAGCGAGGAGAAGGCTGGAGGCAGTGGAGATGTCATGTCTGAGGGCAATGTGTGGTGTGAATATAATGCAGAGAATTCGTAGTTTGGAAGTTAGGAGGAGGTGCGGGATTACCAAAACTGTTGTCCAGAGGGCTGAGGCAGGCATGCGTGAGCGTGTTTGATAGGAGTGAATGGAGACAAGTGGTTTTTAATACTTGACGGGCTGTTGGAGTGTGAACAAAGTAACATTTATGAAGGGGTTCAGAGAAACCGGCTGGCCGGACTTGAGTCCTGGAGATGGGAAGTACAGTGCCTGCACTCTGAAGGAGGGGTGTTAATGTTGCAGTTTAAAAACTGTAGTGTAAAGCACCCTTCTGGCAAGACAGTGATGGAGTGAGTGATGGTGAAAGTTTTTCTTTTTCGGGCCACCCTGCCTTGGTGGGAATCGGCCAGTGTGATAATAAAAAAAAAATCTTTATTTTTATCTTTTTTTAACAATACAGCCGTCTCCCACCGAGGCAGGGTGACCCAAACAAGAAAGAAAATCCCCAAAAAGAAAATACTTTCATCATCATTTAACACTTTCACCTCACTCACACATAATCACTGTTTTTGCATAGGTACTCAGAACACAACAGTTTAGAAGCATATACCTATAAAGATACACAACATATCCCTCCAAACTGCCAATATCCCAAACCCCTCTTTTAGAGTACAGGCATTGTACTTCCCATTTCCAGGACTCAAGTCCGGCTATATAAAAATAACTGGTTTCCCTGAATCCCTCTCTAAATATTACCCTGCTCACACTCCAACAGATCGTCAGGTCCCAAATACCATTCGTCTCCATTCACTCCTATCTAACACGCTCATGCACGCTTGCTGGAAGTCCAAGCCCCTTGTCCACAAAACCTCCTTTACTCCCTCCCTCCAACCTTTTCAAGGACGACTCCTACTCCGCCTTCCTTCCCCTACAGATTTATACGCTCTCCAAGTCATTCTACTTTGATCCATTCTCTCTAAATGACCAAACCACCTCAACAACCCCTCTTCAGCCCTCTGACTAATACTTTTATTAACTCCACACCTTCTCCTAATTTCCACACTCCGAATTTTCTGCATATTTACACCACACATTGCCCTTAGACAGGACATCTCCACTGCCTCCAACCGCCTCCTCGCTGTTGCATTCACTACCCAAGCTTCACACCCATATAAGAGTGTTGGTACTACTATACTTTCATACATTCCCTTCTTTGCCTCCATAGATAACGGTTTCTTGTCTCCACATATACCTCAATGCGCCACTCACCTTTTTTCCCTCATCAATTCTATGATTAACCTCATCCTTCATAAATCCATCCACCGACACGTCAACTCCCAGGTATCTGAAAACATTCACTTCTTCCATACTCCTCCTCCCCAATTTGATATCCAGTTTTTCTTTATCTAAATCATTTGATACCCTCATCACCTTACTCTTTTCTATGTTCACTTTCAACTTTCTACCTTTACACACTCCCAAACTCATCCACTAACCTTTGCAATTTTTCTTTAGGATCTCCCATGAGCACAGTATCATCAGCAAAAAGCAACTTTTGTCAAATTCCCATTTTGTATTTGATTCCCCCATAATTTAATCCCACCCCTCTCCCGAACACCCTAGCATTTACTTCTTTTACAACCCCATCTATAAATATATTAAACAACCATGGTGACATTACACATCCCTGTCTAAGACCTACTTTTACTGTACTGGGAAGTAGTCTCCCTCTCTTCTAAACACCCTAACCTGAGCCTCACTATCCTCATAAAAACTCTTTTACACTTTTATAACTTACCACCTATTCCATAACCTGCAACACCCTGCCACATTGCTCCCCTATCCACTCTGTCATATGCCTTTTCTAAATCCATAAATGCAATAAAAACTTCCCTACATTTATCTAAATACTGTTCACATATATGCCTCAATGTAAACACTTGATCTACACATCCCCTACCCCCACTGAAACCTCCTTGCTCATCCGCAATCCTACATTCTGTCTTACCTCTAATTCTTTCAATTATAACCCTACCGTACACTTTTCCTGGTGTACTCAGTAAACTTATTCCTCTATAATTTTTACAATCTTTTTTTGTTCCCCTTCCCTTTATATTTTTTTTTTTTATTATCACACTGGCCGATTCCCACCAAAGCAGGGTGGCCCGAAAAAGAAAAACTTTCACCATCATTCACTCCATCACTGTCTTGCCAGAAGGGTGCTTTACACTACAGTTTTTAAACTGCAACATTAACACCCCTCCTTCAGAGTGCAGGCACTGTACTTCCCATCTCCAGGACTCAAGTCCGGCCTGCCGGTTTCCCTGAACCCCTTCATAAATGTTACTTTGCTCACACTCCAACAGCACGTCAAGTATTAAAAACCATTTGTCTCCATTCACTCCTATCAAACACGCTCACGCATACCTGCTGGAAGTCCAAGCCCCTCGCACACAAAACCCCCTTACCCCTCTCTCCAACCTTTCCTAGCCGACCCCTACCCCGCCTTCCTTCCACTACAGACTGATACACTCTTGAAATACACCTGTTTCCGCTCCATTCTCTCTACATGTCCGAACCACCTCAACAACCCTTCCTCAGCCCTCTGGACAACAGTTTTGGTAATCCCGCACCTCCTCCTAACTTCCAAACTACGAATTCCTGCATTAATTCACACCACACATTGCCCTCAGACATGACATCTCCACTGCCTCCAGCCTTCTCCTCGCTGCAACATTCATCACCCATGCTTCACACCCACATAAGAGCGTTGGTAAAACTATACTCTCATACATTCCCCTCTTTGCCTCCAAGGACAAAGTTCTTTGTCTCCACAGACTCCTAAGTGCACCACTCACTCTTTTCCCCTCATCAATTCTATGATTCACCTCATCTTTCATAGACCCATCCGCTGACACGTCCACTCCCTTTATATAAAGGGACTATACATGCTCTCTGCCAATCCCTAGGTACCTTCCCCTCTTTAATACATTTATTAAACAAAGATACCAACCACTCCAACACCATCTCCCCCTGCTTTTAACATTTCTGTCATGATCCCATCAGTTCCAGCTGCTTTACCCCCTTTCATTCTACATAACGCTTCACGCACCTCCCCCACACTCACATCCTGTTCTTCTTCACTCCTAAAAGATGGTATACCTCCCCGGCCAGTGCATGAAATTACCGCTTCCCTTTCTTCATCGACATTTAAAAGTTCCTCAAAATATTCTCGCCATCTACCCAAAACCTCCATCTCCCCATCTACTAACTCCCCTACTCTGTTTTAAACTGACAAATTCTCTAGGCTTTCTTAACTTGTTTAACTCACTCCAAAATTTTTTCTTATTTTCATCAAAATTCCTTGACAGTGCCTCTCCCACTCTTATGATCTGCTCTCCTTTTGCACTCTCTCACCACTCACTTCACCTTTCTTTTACTCTCCATATACTCTACTCTTCGTATAACACTTCTGCTTTGTAAAAACCTCTCATAAGCTAACTTTTTCTCTTTTATCACACCCTTTACTTCATCATTCCACCAATCACTCCTCATTCCTCCTGCACCCACTCTCCTATAACCACAAACTTCTGCCCCACATTCTAATACTGCATTTTTAAAACTATTCCAACCCTCTTCAACCCCCCCACTACTCATACTTGCACCAGCCCACCTTTCTGCCAATAGTTGCTTATATCTCACTCGAACTTCCTCCTTCCTTAGTTTATACACTTTCACCTCCCTCTTGCTTGTTGTTGCCATTTTCCTCTTTTCCCACCTACCTCTTACTCTAAATGTAGCTACAACTAAATAATGATCCAATATATCAGTTGCTCCTCTATAAACATGTACATCCTGGAGCCTACCCATCAACCTTTTATCCACCAATACATAATCTAACAAACTACTTTCATTACGTGCTATATCATACTTTGTATATTCATTTATCCTCTTCTTCATAAAATATGTATTACTTATTACCAAATCTTTTCTACACATAGCTCAATTAAAGGCTCCCCATTTTCATTTACCCCTGGCACCCCAAAATTACCTACTACTCCCTCTACAACATTTTTGCCCACTTTAGCATTGAAATCCCCAACCACCATTACTCTCACACTTGGTTCAAAACTCCCCACGCATTCACTCAACATTTCCCAAAATCTCTCTCTCTCCTCTACACTTCTCTCTTCTCCAGGTGCATATAATGCTTCTAAACTGTTGTATCTGGGTACCTCTGCAAAATCAGTGATTATGTATGAGTGAGGTGAAAGTGTTTTTGTTTTGGGGATTTTCTTTCATTTTGGATCACCCTGCCTAGGTGGGAGACAGCTGACTTGTTGGAAAAAAAAAAAAATAGGTATATTGGCAACATTTCTGCAAGCGGCAGGACTTCACGTTTCCGTCAGTTGAGCATCCAGTGCCAACTTCACAGTCTTGTATCTTGGTAAGTACTGATCCTAAACTTTTTTTTTTTTTTTTTTTTTTGGTCTTATTACACACAGAAAATTGCCCTCTTAAATTTAAAAAAAAAAAATTATTTTTCAAAATATTTGGAGAGTTGGGTGAGTGAACATAGATCTATGTTTGGACAGTTAACAGGTTAACATTGTGGCCTTTATAAATGCCACACTTTCTAGTGCAAAAACTCCTATGCAAGAGACTTTCTGAACACAAGAAAATGATGTTCCTTCTAGCCTTCCAGGCTGAAGGGTAGAAAAATAATTGTATTGACTTATCCAATGCTCTGCCAGTTCCCCAGTGCCACTTATTCCATGCAGCCAAATCTGAAATTCTTATTCATCTCTTGCCCTCTTCCTTTTAACACACAGTAACTAATTGAGCAAACTGCATTGTCACACAATACACAGCAAGTGATGTCAATATCTAGAAGTTCTTACCTTAACACCATGCAGGAGGGTGTATGAAAGACCCACATATACAAGGGCATCTTCAGCTTTGTCTGGTTCATCCACCAAAAGAAATTCCCCACGTCTTATGTCCTCACTTTCTAATCTATTGAGTGAAGGAATCACAAATTATTGAAGCACTATTGGAATGTGATAATTTTTCTAAATATTAGGGCACTACATCTCCATTTCAAGGAAATTTCTTACTACTACTTTTCCTTACCTCCACTGTAACTAAATAAAGTTCACTGTCTATTCTACCAGCAATACATTCTCCCCATGAGTGCACTCCAAAAGTACTGTAATAATTTTGTAAAGCCTAAACAAATTCCTTACAATAATAAAATACCTAAATGTTACAAATAAATTTAAAATGTCTTTGCACTATTCATTAAAAAATTAATCCTGATGAAAAATACAAAAAAATCTTTGAATACACACTGTATAATTTTTTATCAAACACACTATAAAGTCACTATTAAAAATGATGACACTTAAATTCAACAGAAAACGTGCATGAATATTAGAAATTAAGACTACAATTACCTGTTTCCTCGCAGCTTAGGAAATATTACTCCAATAGCTAGTGGTGCCAATACAACCAGCGGTAGAGTGAAGCCAAACAATATTTGCGAAGAAAAGGTGTTTAACCCAACTAGGAATGCAGGTATGATATTGCTACCACTCCAGTCACCTTGGAAGCCAACAAATGCTGCAGACCAATGCAGGGAAGGGAATGTTGAATGATGTCCAGTGCTGTAGAAGCCATGAATACTCAGCATAAACCACACACATGTAGCAGACCATGAAGGCTTTATAACATCACCTGTATCCAAAATGTATATTAGCCATTTACAGCATTATAAAACGTATTGCATATCATTTTGATAAAAAAAAAAGAGAGAGTGTATTGAACTACATTATGAAGATCATTGATAATTTCTTCAGTAAAAAATTTTACTGGCTGTGTACAATGTTTTAAACAATACGTTTTTAACAAACGTCCTAATAAACAATTGATATACATATAGTAGTTTTGAAAATGTTTAAGTTTGCTCATTTCATAAAAATCTACCAAAGACATTCACTAATTTACTATTAAACAGTGGATCCTTCCCTTAATTGTAAGAGGGAAAACTCCAGGTGCACGAAAGTAAATTATTATACTGTACAGTACATTCGTGGATGATGGCTAAACCCACAGGGGTCACAAAGTACCTAAGGGAGTGGGGGAGCATTCAGATTCAATCCCTTGGATCAATAGCCCTTCACTGGCATCAAGAAACCTCCTTTGAGAGGTATGCAAATACATAAAAAAAAAAAAAAAATCCTGCTGAAGGCCAAATCAGAATAACAGACTTGTAAAGTTATTTGGTTAGCTAATCAAGAATGCAAAGTTATTTGATTACAGTGGAACCCCAGTTTTCATCTGGTCCGGTTATCGTTCAATTCAGTTTCGACCACATTTTTTGGCAATATTTTCAGTTATCATACACCTGCTCTGAAATCGGCTGTACCAGATGCGTCCACCTGCCCACAGGATGTGGCGGCTCATATGTTCGTGACTCAGTCTGCCTTTGTTACTCATAGAGGGTGGTAGTGATGGTGGTAGAGGGTGGTACTGGTGGTGGTAGAGGGTGGTAGTGATGGTGGTAGAGGGTGGTAGTGGTTGTGATGGTGGTAAAGGGTGGTAGTGATGGTGGTAGAGGGTGGTAGTGATGGTGGTAGAGGGTGGTAGTGATGGTGGTAGAGGGTGGTAGTGGTTGTGATGGTGGTAAAGGGTGGTATGTGAGGGGTGGTAAAGGGGTGGTAGTGATGGTGGTAAAGGGTGTGGGTTTAGTGGTTGTGATGGTGGTAGAGGGTGGTAGTGATTGTGGTAGAGGGTGGTAGTGATGGTGGTAGAGATAACCTCTCCTCCCCTCCCGCCTCGCCGTCTTCCATACGCCAACAAGTCTTCATTAAAGGTAAAAGTGATTTAAATGTTCATTTATCCCTTTCAATAGTGCTTTATATTTATTTCTCATTGTTTTCTGTATGTAGAACTATAGTTATTCTCTATAAATTTTTTTTTTTTTCAACAAGTCGGTCGTCTCCCACCGAGGCAGGGTGACCCAAAAAAGAAAGAAAATACTTTCATCATCATTCAACACTTTCACCACACTCACACATTATCACTGCTTTTGCAGAGGTGCTCAGAATACAACAGCTTAGAAGCATATACTTATAAAGATACACAACATATCCCTCCAAACTGTATTTTTGTTAATATTTTTGAGTGTCTGGAATGGATTAATTGGATTTACATTATTACTTATGGGAAATATTTCTTCAGTTTTCGTAGAAATCAGTTTTTGGCCAAAAACCGGGGTTCCACTGTAATTTTTTTTTTACTAAATTTCAAGGATAGTACAAAAAAAAAACACCATTTAAGCATTCTTTTAAATTATAAAACTTACTTAAACTCTGTGCAGTGTGCCATGAAGAAATAACTTGAATAAGAAGGCATACTATGGCAGTAACAAGCAGTAGCACCACCGCAGGAGTAACACCATCTCCAGCCACCATAACTATTATAATCAGTATTACTGTCAACACTGTCACTAGAGGAGCAGACACAGCTGTAGCTAACCCATACACTATGGGAATATTAGAGCTTCTCTTGTTTCCTACATTATATTTTTCCACTAATGTTTTGCAAAGTTGTGGTATTAGAACACTGGGATTATCCATCACTGACTGAATACTTGTTTTAGTTTTCGATGGTGGTACTTCATAAATTAATAATGGTTCAATGTACAAAAGTGCTATGTACATCAGAGTAAGGGCATAATTTATTCGTGGAGGAAACACCACATAGTCATTGATGTTAGAGTTGTGGTGTGCAGGTGCAGCTTGTAGAGCCCAGTGAGCTGCTATAAAGACAACACAAACAACTGGAACACAATTGAACAACATGACTCCTAGTCTAGAGCCATTCATGTTGCCACACATTAAGAGCCATCGGCGAGGCAACCACACAAGTAATATTAAGGCAAACAAGCTGGTAAAATACCGCCAGTTACGCAATTCTTGTGGCAGTCCTGTCATTGGTATGTGGATTTGGTTTGGAATACACCATGTCTGCTCCTCCCGGCACTTCCAGAACCATGAGCTTAATCTTACTGACAAGAATACTGCTAACATGAGGAAGACACACAAAACAGAATTAAAATTAAGCACCAATTTGATATTCTTCACAGAGAACATACTAACACCCTTTTTTTTGTGCTTTTGGAGAAGTGGCACAAGTTGAATGATTAAAGAAGACAACAAAATAAATGCCACCACATAATTTTCCATGATAACATAACTATTAGAAAAACTTCCAAGACATAAAAGCAGTACCAACAAAAGCGAAATAGAGTCACTTTTACTAAATTTACAATGAACAGTAGTAAATGCATCTCTATGAAAATATATCCATAATGTTACTATCATACTGGCGATACAACCAAGTGCTGCAATATTATAAGGAATGAGCACAAAGAGACCATTGACCACAACTGTAAGATATAATAACTTCTTCACAATAGCAATCTTCTTTTTTAGTATAAACTTACAATGGGTAATAATTGATGTTAGTATCAAAATAATAAACATAAGCAGGAGGCCACTACTTATTTCTGACACACTGAACTTTGCCCACACTTCTTCACACATCATTCTGGCAAGGGTTAGGTACTCTGAGTAAACTTTCTTTTGTTCTCTTAATGATAACTGTTCAAAACCTAATAACATTTGGCTCTGCAATACCTCTATTCTTTGCCATAAATCATGTGGAAATTCATTTCCTAAACTTTTATAATCATGCAGATATCTTTTAACTTGCTTTACATTAAGAGACAGAGCAACCAGTTTCTGCTGTTCAGCATCTTCTCTACTTAATCCATCAGTATGTAAAATGTTCTCCATTATTTTCCCCAAATTCGAATAGGGTATAGGCACTCCAAGTGCAAGTGCAAGAGAGGGAACAAGGTCCACTTGAGACACTGGTAATGTACGTCCATGTTCAGATTCAGAGGACATGCTTAGTACAGGACTATACAAGAAGAGTGCAGCTTCAGTTTCATCAGTAGAGTCTCCACCATGGTCTCCAGTTTTGGTCATTCCATGATCACCAAAAATTATAAGAACAGTATCATTTTGAGTACTATCAGCCACTGCCCTGTAAAGATGAAAAAACAATAAATTTTTACTTGTCCAAGACATATTGTACAAAATATTAAACACTGGTTCTGGGAAAAAATAAGAAAAAGGACATTAATATTATTTCTTCTTCTTTCAACAAACCTGCCATATCCCACTGAGGCAGGGTGGCCCTAAAAGAAAAACAAAGTTTCTCTTTTAAACTTTAGTAGTGTATACAGGAGAAGGGGTTACTAGCCCCTTGCTCCTGGCATTTTAGTCGCCTCTTACGAGACGCATGGCTTACAGAGGAAGAATACAGTTCTACTTTCCCATGGAGAATTAGTATTATTTATTATTTATAAATCTGCATATCATCGGTGGGAAGCGGCTGATTTGTTGAAAGAAAAAGAAATCTATATATATATCCTTGAGAATACAGAAAAGTTCTGAAATAACAGAATAACTTATGAACAAAAAAATATGATTAGGTCAAGTTATGAAAATGTAGTAACCTTTTCAATCTACTTTGATGGGAAACAACCAATGTCAACAAAATATATGTATATAATGGGCATGTGTGGTTATTTCTAATAACCAATTCATAGCTGAAGAAGCAGAGCTTTATCTACTGAGCATTACCAACTTCTTTAAATTTCCAGTGGTTGAAACATTCACCATCACTTCTTGATAACTGTCTTGCCAGAAGGGTACTGACATCACAGTTCTGATAGTACTCTGAACTGCAACATCCTCACTCTCCTTTACAGTGCAGGGACTGGACTTCTTCCCTCCAGGACTCTAAGCTTGACTAAGCAGTTTCCTTAAATCCCTTCATAAATGTTATCTCATTTACAGGTTTATTTCATAATTTTTTTTTAACACGTCGGTTGTTTCCCACCAAGGCAGGGTGACCCAAAAAGAAAGAAAAATGTATTAGATTATATTAACAGATTGGCTGTTTCACCCCAAGGCAGAGTGAAACCCAAAACTGAAAACACATTGACCATCTCTCATTTTTTTAGTTGTCATTATAGGGCTTGTGAGAATGGGGAAGATTATTTTATAATAAAAGTAGGCCTTAGCCAGGGGTATGCTGCCACTATGATTAATTAACATATTTATAAATGGGGTTGTAAAAGAAGTGAATGCTAAGGTGTTGCATTAAGAGGAAATAAATCTGATACAGACAGGGAGTTGTCACAGTTGCTGTTTGCTGATGACACAGTTCTTTTGGGAGATTCTGAAGAGAAGTTGCAAAAACTGGTGGAGGACTTTGGAAGGAAATGTAAAAGAAGGAAATTAAAAGTTAACATAGGAAAGAGCAAAGCAATGAAAGACTGGATATCAGATTGGAGGGAAGGAGTATGGAGCAAAAACTCGATGTGTAAAAGCAGAGATGATTGTGAACACCTGATGAAAAGGAATGAAACCCAATGAGTCATCTGTGAGAATAACCAGAGGAGGCATAAGTGCATGGAAACTTCCCTAATACCACCATCAATAAAATACCACAAAAATCAGGAAGCTTTAATGCCTTACCACCACCACCATCTTCCTCTCCTACATATATTTACCCACTGTGTCCACATTATTTATTGTCTTGACAAAGCTTCTGGTGGACAAAACATTGCTTTAATGAGTGTCTTAAGTTGCATATGTGTAGAAAGAGATTTGGTAATAAGTAATACATATTTTATGAAAAAGAGGATAAATAAATATACAAGGTATGATGTAGCACGTAATGAAAGTAGTTAATTAGATTATGTATTGGTGGATAAAAGGTTGATGGGTAGGCTCCAGGATGTACATGTTTAGAGGGGCAACTGATATATCGGATCATTATTTAGTTGTAGCTACAGTTAGAGTAAGAGGTAGATGGGAAAAGAGGAAGGTGGCAACAACAAGTAAGAGGGAGGTGAAAGTGTATAAGCTAAGGGAGGAGGAAGTTCGGGTGAGATATAAGCGACTATTGGCAGAAAGGTGGGCTAGTGCAAAGATGAGTAGTGGGGGGATTGAAGAGGGTTGGAATAGTTTTAAAAATGCAGTATTAGAATGTGGGGCAGAAGTTTGTGGTTATAGGAGGGTGGGGGCAGGAGGAAAGAGGAGTGAGTGGTGGAATGATGAAGTAAAGGGTGTGATAAAAGAGAAAAAGGAAGCTTATGAGAGGTTTTTACAAAGCAGAAGAGTTATAAGAAGAGCAGAGTATATGGAGAGTAAAAGAAAGGTAAAGAGAGTGGTGTGAGAGTGCAAAAGGAGAGCAGATGATAGAGTGGGAGAGGCACTGTCAAGAAATTTTAATGAAAATAAGAAAAAATTTTGGAGTGAGTTAAACAAGTTAAGAAAGCCTAGGGAAAGTATGGATTTGTCAGTTAAAAACAGAGTAGGGGAGTTAGTAGATGGGGAGATGGAGGTATTAGGTAGATGGCGAGAATATTTTGAGGAACTTTTAAATGTTAAGGAAGAAAGAGAGGCAGTAATTTCATGCACTGGTCAGGGAGGTATACCATCTTTTAGGAGTGAAGAAGAGCAGAATGTAAGTGTGCGGGAGGTACGTGAGGCATTACGTAAAATGAAAGGGGGTAAAGCAGCTGGAACTGATGGGATCATGACAGAAATGTTAAAAGCAGGGGAGGATATAGTGTTGGAGTGGTTGGTACTTTTGTTTAATAAATGTATGAAAGAGGGGAAGGTACCTAGGGATTGGTGGAGAGCATGTCTAGTCCCTTTATATAAAGGGAAAGGGGACAAAAGAGACTGTAAAAATTATAGAGGAATAAGTTTACTGAGTATACCAGGAAAAGTGTACGGTAGGGTTATAATTGAAAGAATTAGAGGTAAGACAGAATGTAGGATTGCGGATGAGCAAGGAGGTTTCAAAGTGGGTAGGGGATGTGTAGATCAAGTGTTTACATTGAAGCATATATGTGAACAGTATTTAGATAAAGGTAGGGAAGTTTTTATTGCATTTATGGATTTAAGAAAGGCATATGATAGAGTGGATAGAGGAGCAATGTGGCAGATGTTGCAAGTATATGGAATAGGTGGTAAGTTATTAAATGCTGTAAAGAGTTTTTATGAGGATAGTGAGGCTCAGGTTAGGGTGTGTAGAAGAGAGGGAGACTACTTCCCGGTAAAAGTAGGTCTTAGACAGGGATGTGTAATGTCACCATGGTTGTTTAATATATTTATAGATGGGGTTGTAAAGGAAGTAAATGCTAGAGTGTTCGGGAGAGGGGTGGGATTAAATTTTGGGGAATCAAATTCAAAATGGGAATTGACACAGTTACTTTTTGCTGATGATACTGTTGCTTATGGGAGATTCTAAAGAAAAATTGCAAAGGTTAGTGGATGAGTTTGGGAATGTGTGTAAAGGTAGAAAGTTGAAAGTGAACATAGAAAAGAGTAAGGTGATGAGGGTGTCAAATGACTTAAAGAAAAATTGGATATCAAATTGGGGAGGAGGAGTAAGGAAGAAGTGAATGTTTTCAGATACTTGGGAGTTGACGTGTCGGCGGATGGATTTATGAAGGATGAGGTTAATCATAGAATTGATGAGGGAAAAAAGGTGAGTGGTGCGTTGAGGTATATGTGGAGTCAAAAAACGTTATCTATGGAGGCAAAGAAGGGAATGTATGAAAGTATAGTAGTACCAACACTCTTATATGGGTGTGAAGCTTGGGTGGTAAATGCAGCAGCGAGGAGACGGTTGGAGGCAGTGGCGATGTCCTGTTTAAGGGCAATGTGTGGTGTAAATATTATGCAGAAAATTCGGAGTGTGGAAATTAGGAAAAGGTGTGGAGTTAATAAAAGTATTAGTCAGAGGGCAGAAGAGGGGTTGTTGAGGTGGTTTGGTCATTTAGAGAGAATGGATCAAAGTAGAATGACATGGAAAGCATATAAATCTATAGGGGAAGGAAGGCGGGGTAGGGGTCATCCTCGAAAGGGTTGGAGAGAGGGGGTAAAGGAGGTTTTGTGGGCAAGGGGCTTGGACTTCCAGCAAGCGTGCGTGAGCGTGTTAGATAGGAGTGAATGGAGACGAATGGTACTTGGGACCTGACGATCTGTTGGAGTGTGAGCAGGGTAATATTTAGTGAAGGGATTCAGGGAAACCGGTTATTTTCATATGGTCGGACTTGAGTCCTGGAAATGGGAAGTACAATGCCTGCACTTTAAAGGAGGGGTTTGGGATATTGGCAGTTTGGAGGGATATGTTGTGCATCTTTATATGTGTATGCTTCTAAACTGTTGTATTCTGAGCACCTCTGCAAAAACAGTGATAATGTGCGAGTGTGGTTAAAGTGTTGAATGATGATGAAAGTATTTTCTTTTTGGGGATTTTCTTTCTTTTTTGGGTCACCCTGCCTCGGTGGGAGACGGCCGACTTGTTGAGAGAAAAAAAAAAAAAAAAGTATCCATTTACCTGATTACTGTCAGTATAATTATCAATACTTACACAATAGAGTTGTTGTTCAAGATAAGAATGAAGAAAAGCAATCTGTACTCACTAATGCAGGCTGGGAAATTTTCAAAGGTTGAGTTGGACAAGTATTGTATACAGGTCCGCCATCACAAATCCGGCAATCAGTTATTCGGTTCCTTCAGTTATTTGGCACTAATTTTGGCTAGCATAATTTCAAATTTCTAGGGTCGCCACACCAACCTGCTGGTACTGTTTGGTGGCGCTACTTGCTGCATAATTCATTCCAATATCTTTTTCTCCATTTATTGTTATAACCTGCTTACTTTTAACCCTAGCCATGGTTCCAATGAATAAAAGAAATGCTTCTCATTATGTAAAGCACCTACACAGTACATTATTCATTAAAGATAAGGTGGCTTTGAAGCCACTGTCAGTTGGCATGAGCTCAGTCTCATGAAGCAGGAGAATATGCTTTATTATTACGCTAATATCAACACTACAGCTTATTTGCCTATCATAATTGATCTAATATGACATAAGAAACAATATAAATAACATAAAACATGTTATATACTCCAGAATGAATAATATTTTGCATAATACCGAGCAGTTCGACGGAGGTATGAAGAGGATATATGGTATACAAATACCATTCTCCTATCCCTGTCTTGGGGACTTATATTAGAGAAAACGGAGTGTAGCACAAGGTTAACTGTGATATACACTCGTACTGCACCATAAACCTAAAACAAAAGTTATTTTCTCTATATAGATTATCACACATAGCAGCATATGTGTAGAGAACCTAGGATAACCCAAAAAAAAGTCAATGTGGCTTATTTTTAGTACCTGGCTTGGGTTAGCCATATATGATTTTTGGTAAATATTCGATTCCCAGCCAGGGTAGAAACATTAGGCATGTTTCTTTACACCTGTTGTCTATGTTTACCCATCAGTAAATGGGTACCTGGGTGTTAGCCGACTAGTGTGGGTGTTATCCTGGGACACTGACCTAATTTTCTTGAAATACTCTGCATAACAAGCGGCTTTCTATACAGTAGTATGTCACTGATGTCAGCTAGGCCTGTATACCTTGTACATGTATGTGTAGTAAATAAAGATATTATTATTATTATTATTTTCTCAGTTGTTTTTTGGGGTTATCTTATTGAAACATGGGCAATGTATGATGGAAAGATACTTCTTCACGTACACCAAAAATGAAAGAAATCAGACCATAAATAGCGGAGTTCACTTCTCAGCCATTAACGGGCCGCTTAGCGGTATATTTTTGTATGGTTGTTTTTGGTTAATAGTTCTTATTTTTTTATTTATGTAGTCATTTGACTGAATGGGGGGAAATATAATTACTTCAAATATATTGCTTTGGAAAATTCTTTCAATGGACTGAAATACCTTGAAAAAGCGTCTCACTGTAGTCAAAATGTTTTTGTCTCATTTATAGATGAAATCAATAGTAAACAATTTGATGCCATGTAAATACCTTGTGCGCCCACCCGTCGAAATTTTTCTAGTCGAAACTCAAGAGGTGAAAAAAATACAATTACATGTCCGCCACGTTAATAAACGGGGTATTTTTTTTATACAAGTTAATGTTGTCCCAGGTGCCAGTACTGACCCGAATTTGTTCCCAAGGAATATTGTGAAGTAGATTAGTCCATTTCAGACCCCCAAACATACACGTACAAACGCACTTACATAAATACACTTACATAATTGGTCGCATTCGGAGGTGATCGTTATGCGGGGGTCCACTGTATTACAATAATGCAGCAGTCTGCAGAACAGTAAATCTTCTATTTTTTGTGAATAAAAATTCCAAATGAAAAGCAAGAGTAATATAAGAGGGGTCTGTAGCCATGACTAATGAACAGAGAAAATGTTATTTTAGTGCCAGGAATGTCTGCATTGTTTTTTCTGGACCCTATTTTGAAATTGGCATCTGTTGAAATTTGTGTGAAATCGGCCAAATTGCCAATTTCTGACCACTTTATTGAGTAGTTAAAATAAGTGAATGGGCAGTTTCTTGTACTCAGTTGACAGACTAGAAGTAAATAAGTTTATTCAGGTATACACAAATACAGTTACATAGATTATCATACATAGCAGCGTATATATAGAGAACCTAGGATAACCCAGAAAAGTCAGACAAAGTGACTTATTTCCAGTACCTGGCTTGGGCTTGCCGTATATGATTTTTGGTAAATATTTTTTTTTCTCAGTTCTTTGTTGGGCTATCTCATTGAAACTTGGCAATGTATGATGGAAAGATGCTTCTTAACGTAACAACAAAAATAAAAAAGACGGACGATAAATAAGGGAGTTAACTTCTCAGCCATTATCCGCCTCTTTGCAGCATATTTTCATATGGTTTTTATGGTTGTATTCTCATTTTTTTGGACTCATTTGATAGAATGGAAGATATACTACAGAAATAGACATGATTCTCATTGCTTTCATAACGAAAGTACCTTGAAATTGAGCTCAAAGTAGTGGAAATGTTCGATTTTTGCAGATGTTCAATGAACTGTGTAAGTCAAGTTGGTTAATTTTATTAAGTGTATTCTAACCTAACCACTCTGTAATCTGGCAAACTCAGTAATCCGGCACACTACAGGTCCCAATGATGCCGGATTTGTGATGGAGGACCTGTAGTACATTATCAACCAAATAAAATTCTGAGACAGTAAGGTGTATAGCAGCAATTATTGCATTACAACTACTTTTTTTTTTTTTAAATTGCCAAAAATAGCCAGAAAATCTTTTATTTAAAAAATATCCAACTGATCTGGATTAGTACACAGCAAGATGCAATGAAGTTATAAAATAACTTGTTAACATACCAAAACTGAAAATAGCAACTATATTGCTATTTACTATGCTGCATTAATACAATAAAATTTATTAGAAGTGTAGAGCAAATAAACATAACAGTAATAATACTGATGAAAAAATGTGAATTATAATGAAAGGAGTTATGACAAGAGAAAGTAAGCCAAGATACTAACTTTACTACATCATTCATCTGTTTCAGTTTGGCTGCCATTTCTGGGTGACTTGGACCATAACGATGACCACAATGATCAACTCCAAGAAAGTGACCAATTATAACATCCCAATCCTCTCTTGCCATTTCTTGCTCCAGATGACTCAGTACACCATTGTCAACAGTGTGTAGATCCATCACATTAAAAGAAGGATAAAGAAATGAACGATTAAACCTGGAAAAGAAAATATTCACATAAGCATTACTTTGCTGATATAATCACCTCTATACATTAATAAACATTTGTTTATATACATGTATTTTATTAACCCTCCTGCACATCATTAATACTGTACTTTGCATTCCTTACCTGCCTGGGAATAACCCTTCCCAGGTGTCATCTCCGAGAACAGTTATACGCTTCTCACAACTGACTAGTTGGTCCACTATGTTATCTTCTGTTATTTCTTCACTGTTAAAAACAATAAAATTATTACTGTCAGGTATTTCTCAGTATAATTTGCATAATGACAAAATAAGCAGGGCTACATCAGGTGAATAAATAGCAACAATGAAACAATGTACAAGTGGTTTAGGCTGGAATAATTTGTAGTGGTACACTGATTTTACTTTACATTGGAGTTTAAAGCACGAGAAAACCCTGTTAGAATATGAACTTTGCATGTGTTCTTTCTGTGTGGTAAAGACAACGAAGTTGATTTTTATAAAAAAAATCGACTGAAAAAATGTTTTGCACGGAAAATGAGATCAATTAAATAAAGATTAAAAATTGTTAATAGATCAGCGATTAACAAAGCCATTTCTTTAAAAAATTCTCAGTCTTTATAAGTACATAATTAATTTTATTTATTATTTATTACTTTTTTCAGTGATCTCAATATAAGTCTATTCATTACCATTCAATGCAGTATTTTGCCTTTCTTATATTATTTAATTCTACATCTCAAAAACTGTGATATTGTGTGAATGACGATAAGAGTGCTGAATGATGGTAAAAGTGTTTCTTTCGTATTTGAGTCACCCTGCCTTGGTGGGAGACGGCCGCCGCATTGAAAAAAAATCTCTTAAAATATTTCAGATCACTGCAATGTGCAAATTATTATGTAGTATGCTGTATTCACAAATCAAATCAAATTTTGGTCTTGAAAAATTAAATTACAATCATACGTGTGATTCATAAGCGTGAAGTAATGGTATTAGTAGTAACAGTTTAACACTACCTATATTATGCTCAGTATTTCCAGCAAAACTTATAGTAAGCTAACAGGAATTTTATCAAAAGTATTCAGGGATTATAAAACATATCAACTGATAGTAAAGTAAAAAATAGCAATTCTAAAATAGCAATTCAAAAATACCAATCCACCAAATAAAACTTATGTAAAACTTGTTCAATGACAAGCTATGCACTGCAGAATGTTGAATACTGTACAAGGATATACCACATAGTAACAATCATTTTTGATCAATTATTATGAATAGCAATGGCATATGGCGTGGCATTGTCAGAGGGAGTGTGCTGTTCATGATACAACTAGCTGTGGGGTGTGCAGTGCTATCTTAGAACTATCACAATATTTCATAACAGGGGACAGAAAAATTAGTTTCCCATTATGATCCATGATTATATTCTTGAGTGAGCTTTGGTGGGTGTATGGAGCTCACCTAGCACATACAGAATATATGCCCCTGAAAATAGGTAAAATGCTAAGATTAAGGTGCTAATTTTTTCAATAATAAGAAGCAATACAAGATGTAAGTAATGCCAGAAAATAAGAGGCCATGTAGTAATTAAGAACACATTGAAGGAATTATTATTATACCTTGCAAAATTGTGGCTGGCATCAATAAAAGTAGGCAGGCTCCCTGTAGTAAGACCCTTGAGACGCTGAAGTGTTGTTGTTGGAGCATCAGCAATGAATGGGGCAAGATGAGCCTGTTTTGGATTAGCCTCAAGAAGATCCTTGAACACTGGCATTTTATTTTGATAAGGTAAGGCATCATTATCCTTCAAAGAATGATTGTAAGCAGCAAAATCATACCTTAATGCATCAATTAGCAGTATAATGGCTCTTCTAAATGTAGAAGGCATCCAACATTCTCCTTTTACACCCTTTACACTCCTTGTTATTTCCTTATTCCTAGTTTCAATAACGACTTCTTTAAAATCTTCACAGTGAGAGTTTGAAAGAATAACTTGTCTAGTAAGGAGAAAACCATGGCTAAAAATCAGTAAGCCAACTATAAAAAGCTCACTTAAACACAAAATTAAGATGAAAACTTGTGAACTTCCAAAGCATGCCATGTTCATTACTCAGTAGATCTGCAAAGAAGAAATCTTCATTAGTTAAAATAAATAATAATAAGAGCCTCTAAAACATGAATGATATACATGTAAAAGCAAAGAAGCAAAGATAAACATTATACACCTTATAAGCAATTGAAAACATAAAAAGTTCATAATAATGATATAGAAACCAAAAAAACAAGGCAATATCCAGAAAATGGAGAATGTCTAATGACATCAATCATTCATATAGAAATAAATTTCTCTTAAACTATGACTTAAAACCAAGTGATGGACAATTAGGAAGGTGGGGTGAGTGAATAGTGAAGGAAAAGGGGGATAAGTGCACCAAGAAAAAGGGAACATTAATTTTTATCTTATATTTTCACCTTGTAAATTTATTCATTTTACATATAGAATGTAGATATTACATTTATCAGATTTTCTAATTACTATTCATTGTACTATTTATTGTTAAAGCCAATATTACATGAAATTTTATTAAAGAGGTGCATATGTATGGGTGGGTGGCTCAGATGAGGAATGAAGTATTCAGACTCTTAAAACTGGTTGGGAAACAGCAGCTGCTGCTGCATTATGTACCAGAATGTGTTAAAATTAATGAATTCAGAGACAACTCACTCAGAAATCTTCAAGAAATGTCAAATGTATCTTATCCACAGTGGTATATCACAAACCATTCTGAAAAAAATACCCTGACTTTGCTCACTGCAAATAAAGCATGACCACTTTTTTTTTTTGTGTATGTGACACCTAATTTTTTAATACAGCCTTTCTTCACTTAGAAACGTACTCACTGACCGACGCCTCGGACTTACGATGGGCTCTCTGACCTAAATACTAATGCATATTACAGCTGATGTCCTCTATTCTGTTTATTTCAATATACAGTACACTACTGTATAAATACATGTATTTAAAAATATATCAGAAATGTTATAAATGGCGCAAAGGTAACATTAAAACAATATCAAAGATGGCTGACACAAACTCACTACCATTATAACATGCTCCTGTTCACTTAGCGACGAATCCGTTTAACGACGTGGTCTTAGGAACGGAACTCCGTCGTTAGGTGAGGAAAGGCTGTAATAATAATAATAATTTTTATTTCTACAAGTACATGTACAACATATACAGACCTAGGTGATATCAATGACATACTACTACATATATAGAAAGCACCTTGTTATGCAGAGTATTTCAGACAAATTAGGTCAGTTTTGTCTTTAGGATGTGACTCACACCAGTCGAGTAACACTCAGGTAACTATTTTACTGATAAATGTACAGGGACAGGTATCTTGAGGAAACACGTTCTAATGTCTCCACCTGTACCGAGGACAGAACCACAGACTTCAATGTGTGAGCTGAGTGTGCTAGTAATCGAGTTACTGGACACCTCAATTCAAGCCCACATAAATAACTCACTATGTGACTAGATATAAACATGTAAATAGTTCATTACCACTGTAGCTTGTTCACTTATCAAAACTCTGTGGCTCAGTCCCTGGACCCATTATATTCCTCTGTAATCTTTTGATTACTACCCACAAGATGGGTATAGGGTGCATAATAGAGATATTAACTAAAACTAAACTACTTGATTGAAATTACACTTTATTCTTGAGAATCAAAGAACAGCACAAGATGCTCAAGATGTTTTTTGATAATATAGAAAATTAAATCTTGAGTTTATACAATACTCAAAGTAAAGGTGATAATATTTAATATGTACAGCAATACTGAGCAGTACTGTTCAATAACTAAAGAGCTGGGTTGGTGTGACACAAGGAAAACCATCTTATAATACTGTATAAATACACATGTTAATGTGTTATAACACTGCATGTTCTACCACATTAACACGTTCAGATATAAGAACAGTAGGCACTTGTTTATGTAGCATTCTATCAATTGGAGTAATGATTAACCATTTTTTCTTATTTGGATATGATCAATTACAGTATTCATCAAAATACTACTTTGAATAATCATGAGAAATGCATTACCTGGGTCATGGATAAAAAATAAATGCATACAAATTATTTATTAAAATAAACCTAAATTCACAGTACAGTGGACCCCCGGTTTACGATATTATTTCATTCCAGAAGTATGCTCAGGTGCCAGTACTGAACGAATTTGTTCCCATAAGGAATATTGTGAATTAGATTAGTCCATTTCAGACCCCCAAACATACACGTACGAACGCACTTACATAAATACACTTACATAATTGGTCATATTGGGAGGTGATCGTAAAGCAGGGGTCCACTGTATTTCAATAAAACGATCATCACTTTTAAACAAAGTTATAATTTGCCAGCCAAAATAAAATTGATGCAACATATTTCTCTCCCAGAGGAAAATACAGCTATGGAATTCTGTACTGTAAAATAATTCCTTAGTAACAATTAAATTTGCTTAGCATCAAAGTATACAGAAGGAACAATTTAATTCAACAACAATCTGTCCTCCAGAAACTGACGCCACTCATGTGATAGCATCTTTATCAGAAAACCACACTGCTTGAGCCACAAAAAAAATATCCACATCACAAAGAGTCAGTTTACAATGGCAACATAACCCTGCAAGAGGACTGTCTCTGGTTAATGTGAGGGTAAGTGTGTGGAAAAGAGGTGGCAGCTATATTGGATCAACTTGTGATGGTAGATTTATATGAAGCAGAAAAATTATTTGGGACAGCCACCAACAATCTTCCAAAATGAGGCAATCTGCAGGCCCATTCAGTCCTACACAGTACAGTTCAGTAGAGAAATGTCTACTCACACTTTATTATTATTATTATTACTACAGTACATATATGGGGAAGCAGTAAACCCAAGAATACTGAAATGTGTACCTAGAAAGGGTGCTGAAGCATGTCCCCAAGAGGGGTACTAAAATATGTACCCAAAGGTGAGGGGTGTTTAAACATATACCCAGGGAGATGGTGATGAATTGTGTACCCAAATAGGAGTGCTGAAAAGTCTACCTAAGAAGGGTGGTAAAACACATACCCAAAGAGGTGTAGAAACATGTACCCAGGGAAGGGGTGCTGAAACGTGTACACAGGCAAGAGGTGCTGAAATGTATAACCAGGAAGGGGGGCTGAAATGTGTACCCTGGAAAGGGGTGCTGAAATGTGTACCCAGCGAAGGGGTGCTGAAACATGTACCCAGGGAAGGGGTGCTGAAACGTGTACACAGGCAAGAGGTGCTGAAATGTATAACCAGGAAGGGGTGCTGAAATGTGTACCCTGGAAAGGGGTGCTGAAATGTGTACCCAGGGAAGGGGTGCTGAAACGTGTACCCAGGGAAGGGGTGCTGAAACATGTACCCAGGGAAGGAGTGCTGAAACGTGTACCCAGGGAAGGAGTGCTGAAACGTGTACCCAGGCAAGAGGTGCTGAAATGTATAACCAGGAAGGGGGTGCTGAAATGTGTATCCAGGGAAGGAGTGCTGAAATGTGTACCCAGGGAAGGGGTGCTGAAACTTGTACCCAGGGAAGGGGTGTTAAAACGTGTACCCAGGGAAGGACTGCTGAAATGTGTACCCAGGGAAGGGGAACTGAAAGTGTAACCAAGGGTGCTGAAACTTGTACCCAGAGAAGGAGCGCTGACATGTATAGCTGGGGGACGGGGGTGTTGAAACGTCTACTAGGGGAGGGGAGCTGAAACATCTACTCGGAGAGGGGTCCTTAAACGTGTACACATGAGGAAGATGCTGAAACGTACTCCCAAGAGGGAGGAGACGAAGCTAAAATGGGTGTACATACGGTTAAAAAAAAATCAACCCTGAAATCACGTATTTTTTCAGCAACCTGTACTTCCCACATCCGCTGAACAGCATTCACTTAGTCTGAAGCTTCAGTGCTCATAACCAGAAAATAAAAGAGACAAAGGGTGACAAATTACCAGTAACAAAACAATTGCCAGGTGGGAGGAGCACCATGATCCACTACCCCGGCGATGTCTTGTTGTTGTTGTTGGGTGTAAGGACTGTGACGGCCCCGGCCCCGGCCCCGAGCCCCTCAACCCAACACCAAACCGGTCACTCTCTCTCCAATTGTTTCATCATCATCATAACATATCTCTAAAAATAGTACGTTTCAAGTCACAACAGAATTTTTCGCTACAATATTTAGCGATAACATTGACTATTTAGAATTATTTAAATTAAAAGAAGGTAAAAAAATTTACAAACGAATATTTTACATCCCTGGGTAAAATGCTTAATTCAAAGTTTATTCTCTATAAGGATTACAATGCTGAGTTTACAGAAATTTGGTTATTGTTTGGTTTACATGTAGTAAAATTGTGATTACAGAGTGTACCACTAGAACGCTTAGCATGGCTAGGCATTTCGGGCATACTTAGTTTTATGACTGACATACAGACTGACATACAGACCATGTTTAACCTTGTTTTAAAGACCCTTTATTGTCATTAATATAATCAAAACTAAGCGATAAACCCATTTTAAGGCTCTGATTCCTTAACACAGATGATAAAATAATAAATAAAATTCAATGGGCCTTGTACTAAGAACTACAAATTATCGTTTTCAAAATGAGTGATCCTTATGACCAATTTGAGTTTAGTGGCAGATTCTTGTCTTCCTGCTTAGTTTGTAAAATGTTTTGCCAACAAAATGGCGAAGCGTGTTAATCTTGCAGCATATTCGGAGGCATCACTGAACAGCTATAAGTATACAGTGAGAAAAAGAATACTGTACCACTGTTACTGCACTAACCTTGGTATACATGTCCATCTGTATTATATGCATCTCTTCGTATATTTCTCTGTAGGTTCGTTAGGAGTCAGGACAAGTTATATATCTCACTTGCCGAGCTATTCTGTGTTATAATAATAAAAAAGAAGTGCTAAGCCTACAAGTGTCATACAGAGCAGATTCTGTTTCATAGGTAACTTGGGTATACCTGGAGAGGGCTTCGGGGGTCAACGCCCCCGCGGCCCGGCCTGTGACCAGGCCTCATGATGGATTAGGGCCTGATCAACCAGGCTGTTACTGTTGTCCGCACACAACCCGATGCACTAGAAGACAAAAAGAATGCAGATGTAATATATACAGACTTTGCAAAAGCCTTCGACAAGTGTGACCATGGCGTAATAGCGCACAAAATGCGTGCTAAAGGAATAACGGGAAAAGTCGGTCGATGGATCTTTAATTTCCTCACTAACAGAACACAGAGAGTAGTAGTCAACAGAGTAAAGTCCGAGGCAGCTACGGTGAAAAGCTCTGTTCCACAAGGCACAGTACTTGCTCCCATCTTGTTCCTCATCCTCATATCCGACATAGACAAGGATGTCAGCCACAGCACCGTGTCTTCCTTTGCAGATGACACCCGAATCTGCATGACAGTGTCTTCCATTGCAGACACTGCAAGGCTCCAGGCGGACATCAACCAAATCTTTCAGTGGGCTGCAGAAAACAATATGAAGTTCAACGATGAGAAATTTCAATTACTCAGATATAGCAAACACGAGGAAATTAAATCTTCATCAGAGTACAAAACAAATTCTGGCCACAAAATAGAGCGAAACACCAACATCAAAGACCTGGGAGTGATCATGTCGGAGGATCTCACCTTCAAGGACCATAACATTGTATTAATCGCATCTACTAGAAAAATGACAGGATAGATAATGAGAACCTTCAAAACTAGGGATGCCAAGCCCATGATGACACTCTTCAGGTCACTTGTTCTATCTAGGCTGGTATATTGCTGCACACTAACAGCACCTTTCAAGCCAGGTGAAATTGCTGACCTAGAAAATGTACAGAGAACCTTCACGGCGCGCATAACGGAGATAAAACACCTCAATTACTGGGAGCGCTTGAGGTTCCTGAACCTGTATTCCCTGGAACGCAGGCGGGAGAGATACATGATTATATACACCTGGAAAATCCTAGAGGGACTAGTACCGAACTTGCACACGAAAATTCAATTCAAAGTTTATTCTCTATAAGGATTACAATGCTGAGCTTACAGAATTTGGTTACTGTGTGGTTTACATGTAGTAAAATAATAATTACAGAGTGTACCACTAGAACACCTAGCATGGCTAGGCATTTCGGGCAGACTTACATTAAATCTTAAGTTTAAAATATTACAAAATTATGAGGTAAGTTGGTATTATGGCTAAGTGATTAAATACTAGTTGTGAGTTTAGCAATGTGAATGCTTTTGTTTTGGCACTATACATAGTTTCAGTATTGGAGTATCACAGGCCAACTTATGACTAGTTAAGATTCATTATTTTGAGATTGAGATTGATATTTCTGTTTATGGTCAAATGGGTGAGTGAGTGTAAGTGTGAACCACCAGGTGGCATTCGCATTATTAGTTGACAGGGTGTATCAGGGAGATAAGATGTTTTCTGATGGTAGTTTTGAAGGTGATGAATGTGTCTGCAGTTTCGGAATTTTCAGGTAGGGTGTTCCAGATTTTAGGGCCTTTGACATACATTGAATTTTTGTAAAGGTTTAGTCGGACTCGGGGAATGTCATAGAGATGTTTGTGTCTGGTGTTGTGCCTGTGGGTTCTGTCACAACTATCAAGAAAGCATTTTAGGTAAAGGTTAATATTGGAATTTAAGGTCCTGTAGATGTAGATTGCACAGTAGTAAGTGTGGATGTACTGAACAGGGAGTAAGTTTAGATCTATGAAGAGTGGGAGGGTGTGTTGCCAGGGATGGGATTAGTGATTATTCTTACTGCGGCTTTTTGTTGGGTTATTATTGGCTTTAGGTGTGTTGCTGCAGTTGAACCCCAAGCACATATAGCATAGGTGAGGTATGGATATATAAGTGAATGGTATAGTGTGAGAAGGCAGTTTGCGGCAGTAGTATCGTATCTTGGAGGATCCCAACCGTTTTGGATACTTTTTTGGTTATGTGTTGGATATGGGTGCTGAAGTTCAGGTTGTTGTCGAGGTATAGGCCTAGGAATTTGCCCTCATTATGCCTGGCAATTAGAGTGTTGTCGATCTTAATGTTAATTTGCGCATCTCCTGCTCTGCTACCAAACATAATGTAGTAGGTTTTGTCAACGTTAAGCGTAAGTTTGTTGGCTGTCATCCAAGTCGATATTTTGATCAGCTCCTCGTTAACAATGGTGTTGAGGGTGGCAAGATTAGGGTGAGAGATGACATAAGTCGTGTCGTCAGCAAAGAGAGTGGGGTTCAGGTGTCGAGATAAGCTGCTATATATGATAATTCTATGTAACTGTATTTGTGTATACCTGAATAAACTTACTTACTTACTTACTTAGCAGGGGACCAAGGACACTTCCCTGCGGAACTCCAGTATCAAGTGGCTGTGTTGTTGATACTGTGTCTTTAATGGTGACATACTGATACCTATTAGTAAGGTAAGATTTGAAATATGCAAGCGCATGGCCTCTTATACCATAATGGTCAAGTTTGTGGAGTAGGATGCCGTGGTCTACTGTGTCAAAAGCTTTTCTTAGGTCAATAAAAATTCCAAGTGGATATCCCTTATTTTCCAATGCTGTGTAAAGCACTCACTCACTCACTCACTACGAAAACAAAAGACTTGGCAGACGATGCAACATCCCCCCAATGAAAAGCAGGGGTGTCACTAGCACGTTAAGAGACCATACAATAAGTGTCAGGGTCCCGAGACTGTTCAACTGCCTCCCAGCATACATAAGGGGGATTACCAACAGACCCCTGGCAGTCTTCAAGCTGACACTGGACAAGCACCTAAAGTCAGTTCCTGACCAGCCGGGCTGTGGCTCGTACGTTGGTTTGCGTGCAGCCAACAGTAACAGCCTGGTTGATCAGGCTCTGATCCACCAGGCCGCCTGGTCACAGACCGGGCCGCGGGGGCGTTGACCCCCGGAACTCTCTCCAGGTAAACTCCAGGTACGTACAAACCACAGCCCGGCTAGTCAGGTACTGACTTCTGGTGCCTGTCCAGTGCCTGCTTCTAGACAGCCAGGGGTCTGTTAGTAATTCCCCTTATGTATGCTGGGAGGCAGTTGAAAAGTCTTGGCCCCTGACACTTATGTGCTCTCTTATCGTGCTAGTTTTGCTTTCTTGGGTAGTGATTTTCTTGTGCAAGTTTGGTACTAAACCCTCTAGGATTTTCCAAGTGTATATAATCATGTATCTTCCGCCTGCGTTCTAGGAAGTACAGGTTGAGGAACTTCAAACGCTCCCAGTAACTGAGGTGTTTTATCGCAGTTGAGTGTGCCGTGAAGGTTCTCTGTACATTTTCTAGGTCAGCAATTTCACCTGCCTTGTAAGGTGCTGTTAGTGTGCAGCACCAATACCTTTCTTTTTCAGTCTTTCTGTCCTTCCCTAAACTTTCTTGTCTCCCACCCCCTCCTTACCACATTCCATAGTCAATAATTTTTGTATCCTTATATGTCCACCATTTTAACCATCATCATCATCATCATCTAGCTGTTACTGACGCTAACAGAATTGTTCCTATGTAGTCAGCTGTATAGCCCTTGTGGCTTAGCGCTTCTTTTTTGATTATAATAATAATCCTATGTAGTCAAAATAGAGAGAGCACTGTCGAATGTTCTACAACTTTCTAAAGATATATAAGTTTGTAGCTATATTTCAAGCCTCTCTCTTTTTTTGGGGGGGGAGGGCGGAGGGAAAAATTTGGACAGGCTTGTACTGAATAAACCACCAGATGTGTATTATTATTATTATTATAAAGGGAAGCGCTAAACCCGGAGGATTATACAGCGCCTGGGGGGGGGGGATGTGGAAGGCATTCAGGCTTAATTCGGGGAACTGGAGCACAGATCCAATTCCCTAAATCAAGAGCCCCTCACCAACATCAAGGAACCTTCCTTGAGGGGACCAGTTGTGTAACTTACTTTGATGTAGGCACTTTTTTGGGAACTCTAATGACATAACGGATGGTACACTCAGAATTTAGGTTTTACATTACTATTATCAATTATTATTATAATCAAGGGGACGCGCTAAACCCGTAGGATTATACAGCG